TATGAACAGGGGTCTCCGGCTCCCTCTGGGTCAGTCAGTGTCGTCACTATGACCCACACCTGACACAGTCGGCTTAGAACTGAACAGGCTTATTTTGGCTCAGTTTGAGGTCTCACTCCATGGTGGGTTGGCCCTGTCACTTGCAGCCCTGAGAGGCAGCACCGTATCAGAACAGAGCACGTGGCAGAGGAAGCTGGTCACCTCACAAAGACAGGGTGAGGAAGAGATCCAGGTCCCACAGTCACCTTTGAGGACATGCCCCCTTGACCTAAAGACTTCCTGCTAGGCCTCACCTCTTAAAGTTTCTGTCACCTTCCGTAGCGCCACCTTGGGGAGCGAGCCTATAGCATGGCCCCTTGGGAACACTTATGACCAGAGACCACCACTCTCACACAGAACACAAGTCTCCATTCAGCCAATGATTCTCTCTGCAGGGCTGTGAGGACTGACAGGCTGAAGCACTTGGCACAGGCCTGGCGTGTGGCTGTCCCTCACTGAATGTCCTCTTCGTGTGGTCACTATCCTCATCCCATTCGCTGCCCGGGTCTGGAAGGACGGGCTGAGGCCCCATGGGTGCTCTGGGTGGTGGCCTTGGGCCATTCTGACTTCCTCCTTCAGCTCATCAAGTGTAGTCCTGTGCTCTTGCCAGCACTGTCCCCCTCCTAATAGCAACGGTACCCAGACTTTGTTCTGGGCAACACCACTCCCAGCCCTGTGATTTGGGTAGATCTCAGCAGATCCCCGACTCTGGGTCAGGCCCTGATGGGCTCCAACCTAGCAGCACATTCCCCAGGGCAAGTGCAGCACACCCCGGGGTTGGTGTGAAATCTAACAGCCAGGAGCCATGAGGAGGCAATTCCTGGGGCTTTGGAAGAAGGGTGCCCCTCCTCCCCAGGACTCTGGTATCTTCTGATACCCTGGAGGGGAATATGGCACCAGGGTGCCCTGTAGGAGAGCAGAAAAGGGGAAGAGATATCCAGACAAGCTGCTGGATCAAGCCACTCCTGAAGCTGTACTTCCTTTTTCCAGGAGCCAATCACTGTCTTTTATTAGGTCAGTTTGTTTCAGGTTCTGTGTCCTTTGGTTTTTGACAATTCTTAACTCTCACAGCTATATTTAATATACATTTTCAATATAAACAATAGGTGTAGCCAGGTATGGTAGCTCATGCCTGTAATCCCACATACTTGTGAGACAGAGATAGGCGGATAAAGGAAAACTGGTTCAAGGTCAGCCCAGGGAAAAAATTAGCAAGACCCCATCTCAACAAACAAGCCAGACATGGTGCAATGGATCTGTAATCCCAGCTATGTGGGAGGCATAGGTGGGAGAATCAGTCTGAGGCAGACCCCAGACAAAAACTCGAGAACCCTACCTGAAAAATAACCCAAGCAAAAGAAGAGCGGTGGGTGTGGCTCAAGTGGTGGGGGGCCTGCCGTACAAGAACAAGGCCCTGAGTTCCAGCCTCCGTATTGCTGGTAAAAGAGAAAACAGAAAAAGCAGCCACTGCAAAAGCTGTACTGGGTCTTGGATTTTCAACATGTCTGTCCTGCTTGGTGGGGTCCTGGGTCAGGGAGTGACTCATCTCTGGGTCAGGGAGTGACTCATCTCTGACCAAGCAAGCTCAAAAGATGTGCAGGAATGCTTTCTGCCTGGCGGGAGAGGCTTCGTCCCTCTTCCGTGACACCTTGTGGCCACCACACTGACAAGGCCACCTGCAGAGGCAAAGAGCAGGGAGATGTGGACAGCACAGTCATCAATGACAGGCCAGGCAGAGCCCTGTGCAGAGCTGGAGTCCCACAAGACAGTGGCCCCTGGGTGGCCCCGGCGGCTCCATGCCTGAGACAGCAGCCTTCCTCAGAGGTGGGTAAGGTGGTGGCCAAGACAAGTCATGGGGAAGGCCCTGCAGGGCCAGCTGGGAAGGGTCTGGACTGCATGTCCAGCTCCCTCACCCTATGGTGACAAATGACAGCCTGGCTGTGGGGGAAGGGGTGTCTTTCTGTTGGCCTCCTGGAGTTGCTGTGACCAACGAGAAGCTTAAACAATGGGAACACACCACTCCCAGCTCTGGGGTGTGACACTGGGCTGTCAGCAGGGCCCACTCTCCCCAGCTCTGACCCTGGCAGTGGCTGGCCTTCCCTTGGCCTGTCACCGCCTCATCCCACACTCTGCTTCATCCTCACATGGCCACCTTGTCTTCTCGTGACTCCTCTGTCTCCTCTTTCAGAAGACCTGGTCACACTGGTGGGAGGGCCCACCCCCACCCCCACCCCCACCCCCACCCTACTCCAGTAGGACCTCTGACCTCACAGCTGGATGGGGTCTGTAGAGACGCTACTTCTTCAGCAGGTCACATTCACGGGTTCGGCAGCTTTGGCGTTTCTTTTTGAGGGACACAGCTGTCCAAGCCCTGGAAGCTAAGGCCAGCAAACGCCATCTCAGGAGTGTCCACTGGAGACAGCATGTGTGATGTCCTCACTGGAGGAACAGGACCGCCCCTCACAGAGTCACTACTCAGTGACACACAGGGGACACTGGGCTCCCTGGAGTTCTTCCTAGTGGGAGGAACAAGAATCGGTTAAAGGTCACCCAGCTCCAACCCTGCAAGCCCAAAGCCTGGTGGGGAAAGACACCAGAGAGCAAGCCCAGGGCACCGCTCAACTGGGCCAGGACAGGTGGCTGGGGCTGGGAGGCCTTGCAGTCCCAGGGAGGCTTGCCAGGAAGGAGAACCTTCCTCCTCAGGCAACCCGGGTCCCAGCTGAGCCTCTGACTGCTGGCTCCCGGTTACCAGGACTCTCAGGTCCTGTGACATGCTGATCTACCGCCAGAGCTGTCTCTCCTTTCCTACACTGCAAGCCAGCCCCTGCCCGGGCACAGCTGTGGGAATCAAGAACTCCTGTGTTAATGACAGTCTTGTTGGCCCCAGATTCTTTAGGAAGGCAGTAGGGAACCCCCCCTGCCAAGCGCAAGGCTACCTTCCCAGGCCTCCTTCCTACACAGAGCTGAGCACCACCACCCGTGGGCTCCCAAGTGCACATCCATCCTTCCCACAGGGTCTAGGGCAGCTGAGGGCTCCTTTGGTTGTTCCTTCTCCTGCAGGCAGCCGACACTGGTCCATCCCTCTTCACCTCAACCTGCTAGATACAAAAGTGGCTACAAGGACAGGCCGCAAGCAAGGCTGTGCTTGGGCTGAGAAGACACACCTGCGACACAGCCCAGGAAGCAAGCAATTTCAGCCAACTGCTCAGGCCCGCTGTGCCTCACCAGTCCGAGGCTGGCCACTTCCCGGGACTGCCCCACCGGGCCAAATCACTATGCGGGAAGTAGGAAGCACCCCGTGTGGGAGGTTGGGTGGCGCCCAGCAGGCATTTGCTCAGGAAGTGGGACTTCTCAGTTCTTCCAACCTGTGCATGGTTGACCTACCGCTGCATGGAGAAAAGTCTTGGGGATGAATATGAAATAAAGAACAAAGAAACTGTGACTTTATTTTGGGAGGGGGCTGTGTGAGTAAGAGCCTCGGTGGAGGGGTGAATGACCTTGCTCACATATGATCACTAACATCCCGGAAAACCAAAATGAACCAACTGGCTTTGATATGAAACGGCTTCATTCTCCAGAGCCCCAGTCTGTGCTGTACACAGTTCCAGCAGCCCAGATAGGCTCCCCATCAGGGGTTGACCAGTGTCCCCCAAGTCCATATGCTGCAGCTCTAACCCCCCCACCTCACAACACGGCTGCATGTGGAGACAGCCTTAAGGCAATTCTGTTAACATAAGGCCATGAGGGTGGGTCAGGGAGGGATCAGGACACACAGAGGTGACCAGGTGGGGACGCAGGGAAAAGACGCCATCTGCAAGCCAAGGATAGCGGTGTCAAAAGGAGCCAGACTGTGACACCCCAATGGGACTTCAACCTCCAGGCCGGAAGGTCAGCCACATGAGCCTGTGGAAGCACTCGGTGAGCAGTATAAGCCCAGCAGCATGGAAGGCAAGAGCAGCATTCTTAGGACACCCACCAGAAAGGATGCGAGGTCACTGGCCATAGGACTGGATAGGACTGGACAGGCTGGACAGGGAGACAGCCCACAGGAGGTTTCAGTCTGCAAACAACAAACCAAGGCCAACACCCCTGGACTGGGCAGCCACGGAACACTAGGTCTGCACACAGGAGGCTCAGGGGTTAGGTAGGGAGGTCAGAGGCTCGATGGGAACACAAAGACCCAGGTCCTGTCGGGTGTCCTGCTCTCTGTGCTCAGTGTGGCTTCATCCACAGCTGCTTTGCAAGTGGCCTGTGGTGGTTCCAGGTGTCAGATCTGGACAGAACAACATCTAGAAGAAGCACCTCTTTCTCAGGAAGGGTGTGACTTTTCCAGGAAGACATCCACTGACAGTGCATCGGCCAGCCAAGGAGAGATGCAAATTCCTGGTCCAAGTGCTATAGGCGGCCACCCGCCTGGGACAGATGGCCCCGGGCAGACCATTTGGTGGGTCGTGTCTATGTGGCCATCTTGGAAGCCTGCCTGGGCTACCCAAGGATCCTGGGAACTAAGTCCAGCCTTCCAGAAAGAGCTCAGGTCAAAGAGCCCAGGTCAAAGAGAACCAGAGGAAGAAGCTGTGGCTCTTGTGACAGGAAGAGGAGGTGGTGGCAGCTGCTCAAGATCTGGTAAGGGAGAGGCCAGGGGGGCCAAAACAGGGAGAAAGGAAGAGGGACAGGAGAGGAGAGAGAGGAGAACCGGAGTGGGCGTGACAGGTGGGGCTGTGCTGGCTGCTGGCAGGTGGCTGGCCAGGCTCAGTGGAGCTGACCGTCCTGGCAGGAAGGGGACCACTCTCCTCTCCCAGTCACTATTTCTACCCCTTGATACCAGACATGAAGCCGTGACGTGACAGCACTGCTGAAACAGTTCCCAACATTTCAGAGAGCGTGAGGACAGTGGCTGGAGGTGTTACAAATGGTACCAGACAGACTTGTGCTTTGAAATATGCTATTTATTTTTCTCCAACTAGAAAAATAACACATTATCAAACCTGGTAACTTATAACTTAGAAAATGCAAGAATCCACCAAGGAAAGCATTCTTCCAATGCAGGCACTGGAGGCAGCAGTGGAGCAGCCTTCCTCAACCTGCAGACGAGTTCACAGCCCGATGCCTTCTCCCAGCCCATCACCAGGCGCCCCTGTGAGGGAGAAGGTGTGGTCCTCATGGCTTCTAGCAGGCAGGTGGTGGACAGACGGACGGACTGCCACATGGCCTGCCAGTAGCCCACTCGATCAAGATGTTCGGGAGCAATGTTCAAAACTGCTGTCCACAGGCTGGGGACATGGTGCAAATGGTGACACACCTGCTTATCCAGTACCAACAATAAAACCCTGTTGCATTGCAGGTGTGCATCTGTAATCCCCGTACTAGGGAGCCTGAGGCAGAAGGATTACGAGGTCCAGGCCAGCCTGGGCTACACAGTCAGACTCTGTGTCAAAAGCAAACAAAACTGGCATGCATCATGGTGACCCCATCATCTCGCTGCAGCAGTCAGACACTGCCGAACAGGAAGTGGGGGCGGCCAGTCTATTTCAACCCTGGAGATGCCCGAGGGACAATGAATCAGCATCCCATGCCATCCCATCGGTCCACTAAGTCGCTCAGCACGTGTGACACCTTCAGGTACCAACGGAGACAGACAGAAGAGCTCCCACTGGAAGACCACCTCTCAAAGCTGAGGCCCCACAGCTTCTGCACATGCAGTGCAGCCTACCACCTAGTCTATGGGTTGCGGTATTTCCCCTTACTGGGCTCTTAGTGCTGCACAGCTTGGCCCTCATTTGAAGACAGACTAAAGGGCTTACCCAGGCTCCCTCAGGACCAAACTGGGCTCTCTTACTCTCAGCCAATGTCCAAACTGAACCCAGCAGACCCTCAGGGCTCCGTGACAGACAGCAGGAACCCAGGCCACCTGCAGTGGAGGGCAGGATCACAGCTATGCTAGCGCTGCATAAGCAGTACTGTGGGATGTGGGCATGGGGGGAGCCCTAGCTCTGCTGCTGGACACCTTGGACCGGGCAATCCCTGTGAGTTTGTCTCCTCCTCTGGTCCATGGGAGCAGCACCCACCTCCCCAGCTTTCAAAGGGATGAAATCAAGCAGGCCACAGCACAGTGCCTGCTGCAGAGAAGGCTCAACAGATGTGCAAGGACCCATCATGACTTCCCAAACCCTATTTCATGTCAATCCTGTCTGTGGGGGGCAGGCCTGGCAAGGGGCAGGTCCAGGTGGAGAGGCGTGGACCACCCCAGTGACCCAGCAGAAAACCTCCAGGGAAGAAGGCCACCCTGGGACCCTCCCTACAGAACAGCACGTACCCTCATTGTTTTGCCTCTAGTCACATCTTTGATCACTTAATATGCAGACATCTGTTCCCTGATGTTTCTTTGTTCAGCTGTCATCCTCAAAATGAAAGTCCAGCACCTTCTGCAGTAACTTTAAAGTCCGGCTGCACATTGAGTAGTGAACAAAGCTGGAAACACAAAAGAAAAATCTTGCACATTTCTGCTCACTAACGTGGTCTTGGATGAAGTCCTCACACCTGTTCCCAGACTGTCTTCAGCTGTCCCGCACAGGGCCATGAAGTGATTCACCTCTAGGACAAGTCACAGAGCACACACAACCCACTGTAGTCACAGTGGTGGACCCCAAGGCCTGCACCAGCTCCACATGGAAAGGCAAGTGGAGCATCCCAGAGACACACGGAGAGCAAACGAACCTGTTTAAATTTCCCTCTAATGCTGTCAAGGTCTTCATGCAGTCTATCGTACGTGGGGTCGTCATAGGGGAATTTCTCAATCATCCCAATCAATGACTCCAAGACCTTCATCTTCCTGCTGCAAAACACAAATAAAGATTTGTGGTCCTCTTATAGAAGCCCAACTTATGCAACAAACCCACTGATCACTTATTAAAAGTATCAGGCATGCTAACAATACCCAGTCCAGAAGCCAGAGGGTCAATTTTCTCATTATGTAAATATTGATGTACCTCGCAACACGCTCTCGCCTGCCTGGAGGCTCAATGGCAAGACCACTCTTACAGATGTGCCCCTCTGTGCTCCAGGGAGCAGAGTGACTGATGCACCTTGCAATGGGCACAGCTCACTGGCTCTCAGTCACACACACGGAAATAGACAGGACCAGCAGGAAAGAGGGTAATCAGGGCTGGTGCAGGCCTTGTCTGACCTGGAGATTTTCAGGACTGGGAAAGTACACGCTCACATCTGCAGGTGACCCAGCCCCCTGTAAGAGCAGCACCTGTCTCTGGTGCCTGACCCCAGGTCCCCTTGTGGAAGCAAGGAACTCTGCCAGGGAGGGGCACAGGCTCTGCAGAGAGGGACCCTGCTTAGGATCTCCAGACACCTAGGTATTAAATTTCTCTGCACCTCAGTGTCCTCACCTGCTAACTAGGGAGGGCAACAGCAAGCTCCTGGGCTCTCAGGTTAAACCACTTACGTGAAGCCTGCTGCTGGATCAGAGCCCGTGGCCAGCAATGAAAGTCCTAGAGACCTGGCTCTCACTTGGGACTTTAATATGAAGCCACAGCCTGACACACCCAACACAGACCTTCAAGGTAGAAACAGCCTAGAACACACTTTATCCCGAGAGCAGGAATATGCTGGGTATTTGGTAGTGGCAGGTCAGCGTACCAGGGAACCCTGTGTGCTTGCTGATGACTGGCATCTTCACACACACATGTATAAGATTTTCAATGGTAAACCAGTTGACAAGATCCAACATGGTTATGTCTCCTTGAAAATACAAACTGAGAAAGGTCAAAGCAAGCTGGTTAAAGTCACAAAGAGGCAGTTTCCTGGAGACCAAAGGGAGAGTCCCAGTGAGGGAATCAGCTGTACTTGCACCTGCTCAAAGCACAAAGAATACCACCACTGCCCACCACGTGGGCAGGACTGCTTCCCCATCAGTGACCTCCTGCAGGCGCACCACCCAGGCACACCACAAGCCATGTGCACTAGAGGGACAGCACACAGTGACTGACGGTGCTGCGGCCAGAGCTCAGTTCTGCTAACACCAGCTGCTGAGAAGAAAACAGCAGACGTGGGAGTGACCAGGAAGCTCTGAACAACTGAAAGTGCCTCTTCTTCTGAGATGGCCCTCTCCAGAGCTCCTTAGCTGCTGAAATGCCCACTGCTCTACAGCAGACAACGCAGGCAGCATAGGTGAAAAACAGAACACCTTCTGTTGGCCCTTCACCTTGGGAAAGACTGCCCTGGGCTGGAGCATGGCTCAGTGGTAGCACGCTTGCCTAGCACGTATGAGGCTCTGGGTTCCATCCTCAGTACCACACATGCCCCCTACAACCCCACAATCCCCCCCAAAACTCCCCCATACCACCACAACCCCCACACACACCATGACCATTAGCCCTCCTTCCCCCCACACCCCCCCACCACGATGCTCCCCCCACCACCACCACAACCCCCACACACACAAAATCATACTTATTGTGAAGACAAAGGTTTTAGGTTCCCAAGACCTCCAGGCTCTGAAGGTGGGGCGGGGGGGGGCAGGGTGGGTTACTAGGATGTCAACCAAAGTGGTCCCTCCTCTGTCTGACAGAGTGTCAGACACCTTCAGTTGCCTGAAGAAGTTAGGGAAGCCCTGCCTGCTCTGGGCAGTGCTGGCCACCGCCGGGCACAGGAACAGTGGCACTTGCACACCGGGAGGAAAGGGAAATGGGAAGAGATGCCCAGGAGCTTCAGGGGTCTGGATGAGACGCTGGCTCAGCTGGGGCTGCTGACACTTATTCCAGAGGGATCGCCAACTGCCTGCTGCTGCCTGATCCCCAAGAGCTCAGAGGAAAGCCCCCAAAGCGCCCCTCAGCTACCCAAGAATCCACCTGCCACCCCCTCATATAAACGGAGCAGGCAGTGACTTGGACGTCCAGATAGCAGGCCACCCAGAAAATGCTTGTGCATTTTCAATCACAAGCATCCTGGATCTAACTTTAAGAGTGGCCCAAGTTGTAGAAACTCAAAATATTTCATGATGGTTTTTTTTTTTTTTTTGGCAGTACTGGGGTCAAAATATTTCAAATAAAAGGAAAAGCCACGTGGACAGGAGATGCCACTTTTCCCACCCTTTTTGTTATTCACCCTTCCATGTCCTCCCGTGCTAGGCCTGGCTGCTGGGTGTCAGAATGCAGTAGAAGCCCAAGTCACAGTTCACTCCCGTGGGCAGTAGGCCTTTTCCTCCAGGGCTTGTTCCCCCCTTAAAGATAAAGGGAGATGGAACAGGCTCGCAAGCGGCTGAGGTAGCCGGGACGCAGTAAGAGAAGTTTGCAAGGGCTCAAACAATGCCCACAGTAGCTACCACTTATTTAAGGCTTCCAAGGACCAGAAAGGAGCTGAACCCATCAGAATGCTTTTCGTTGGCTACATTAGAAAGCGTGGACAATGGAGATGGCCCTTCTGGGCTCTTATCACACCAAGACCACTGCAGACATTTATCAGAGGCTCAAGTAAGGGCAGGAGGAGTAGGGAAAACAAGGAAAAGGGAAAAAAAAAAAAACTGGGTGAGGGACGAATGGGAAGAAGAATTCATTTGAACATGATTGCACAGATGCAGGGCCTAAAAGCAACTTGCACTCGTGACTCCAAGGGTAAGGTGAGGTAAAGAACTTCTGAGAGGTAATACAGCCAGTTCATCGTATGCCCAGTATATCCAGTATTTCTATTTAGATTGCCTAACAGCATCCAAGTGTGACCTCATCATTCTGTCCACTCTACAGATGAGAAACTGAGAACACATAACGACCTCAGGTTGCTTGTGGGAATGCTCTGAATTCACTGCTTCTCCCAAAGCATGCTGGGAGGAAGGGATCTCACCTGTCTTTCTCACCGGCACTACCATGCAAGAGACTCTTCCATGCAAGAGCAAAACCTTGATAGCACCCGATCTGGGAAGTGAAAAATATCAAAGAGTGAAATTAACTAGCTTCATTACCAATCATTAAGATTTCAACACAGGAGGTGGGGTGGAGGACCACTGTGCTCCTTCCACTGCTGTGCTGGAAAGACCTGCTGAGCACCGGGCAACTGAAGCTGGGTTACCGGAAAGTCAGCAGTGGGGCATCCACCCTGAGGTCCTCGATGACACCCATCCCCTGCATTCATGTCCTGAGCTGTCCCCTTGATACTCTATCGGGGTGGCCTGTGTAGCCAATGGAATCCCGAGGAAGGGAAAGCATGTGATTTTGGAGGTAAGCCTAAAAGCCAACATCACTTCTGCCTTGCTCTCTTAGCCCACTTGCTTGAGCGTCACAGGACACATGAGCAGCCTGTGTTGCCTTGGTGGGGGGTTGGGGAGGAGGCTTCAGATGAGACAGCAGCACTGGCTGACACCCTGGCTGGAGCATCACAAGACCCTGAGTCAGAACCACGCAGCCAGGCGGCTCCTGAAGTGCTGACCCTCAGAAACAGTGCGGGGTACCCAGTGATGTCATCTTAAGACCATGTGTTCTGTGGGGGCTGCTTCAAAACATCAGATACCTAATGCTGTCATGGTTGCCTCGCCAAGCCTCTGCCATGTAAAGACATCCACTGTAAGAGAGGGCCGATCCATGACCAAGAGCAAGAAGAGAAATGTAACTGACTCTGTGGATTGTAGCGTCAACAAGACGCTCACCTCGTTGAGGTGAGGATACAGCAAGCTAGAGACTGGACACAGCACCATGACGTTCCAGGCCACACAGCAGGCTATGTCCACAGAGCCCCGTGCCTTGTCAGTTTCCTACTAAGCATTCTCCATCAACATTCAGTCTAGCCTGATATCCCTACACCAAGGCCTTGCAATGTTAAGAGGCCTGACCTTCTGGCTTGACCATAATGAACATCAAATTACAAACTGCAGATGAAAAGGATCTTGAGCAAGTGCTCTATCACGGAGCTCCATTCCTACCCCTTGGTTTTTTTGAGACAGAGTCTCACTATGTAGCCCAGGCTGGAGTGAACTTGCCCACCTCCTAACTGCCATGTGCCATCATGCCTGGCTGAGGATTCATTTCTAAATGGAGGTTCCCACTTACCTCAGATCCAATTTTGGCTCCATGTAATGCGCCATATTGTCTTCCTTCAATTCTACCCAAACTGCTGCCTTCTTCATAGCCCTCCTGATATCCTTCCCCATGGAATCTGTAATGGAGAAGCAGGTAGAAAAAAAGAGTACTTTTCCTGGTAAAATTTTCCTCTTTTCTATCATCCAGACCCCACAAGACAAGGCAGAGTACAGCAGAAAAAGCCTAAAACTCAAACCAGAAGATGTGTGTTCCAGGCCAGCCCTGCCACTTCCCGGGTCTCCTTTGGAGATCCCTGTGCCTTTTGAAGCTCAGTTTTCCTTCATCTACAAATGGGCTAGATCAGTGAGTTCTAAACCTGGCAAAGTACCAGAAACAGGGAAAACTTAAAGACATAAACTCAAGAGTCTCATCTCCATGTAGTCTGTGAGCCTGGACTAAAGCCCAGGAATCTATTTTTCAAAATCTCCTAGGTGACTGGTCTGCAGCTAGGGTAGTGAGTAGAAGTTCTGAGTCTCTAAGCAAAAATAAGAAACCTCGGCCATATACACAGGACTTTTCATCACATCTCTGTAGAACAACAGGGAAAAACCATTAGATTGTCACAAAATGTACCACGATGGTGGTACTTTGGAGGGGACAAAGACACTGATTTTGAAGGATTAACCGTGGGACAGGTATCATCTTCACCTGCAGTCACTACAGGTGGGATAGCAGCCAGCTTTCCATTTAGTTGTATGGCCCTGGGGAGTGGCTGTGCCTCAGGGTCCCTGAAGCAGACACAACAGGCCCACTCGCTGTCATCACTGACATCTACTGCTGTCTCCCTGCGGGCTGGGCCCTGGAAGGTGGCCACCAGACGACAACTCACGGCTCCCCAGGGGCTCTGGAAACAAAAAGGATGACGTCTCGCACATGGATCGGCAGGCCCATGAATGCCGCCGTATGGCCGACAATTAGGGAACAAGAAGAAGTGGCAGCTCCCAGATGGCAAAGGCCTGTGCCACCAGCGGCCGGGGCGTCCCAGGAGGCCCAGCAGATGCTGGGGCCGCAGCCGGAGGAGGAGGTGGAAGGGGGAGGAGGAGGTGGGGGAGGAGGAGGAAGAGGGTCCCGAACAGCTGGCGCGTGGCCGGGACGAGGGGCTAGGGGCGAAGCGGAATCAATAACATCTTGGCCGCACACCCTCCCACTGCTGTCAGAACCACCGGCGCAAGCGGCCGCCCCAGCCCATCCGCAGAGGCCCCAGCCTTGCCACCCACCTCTCATCCGCCATCACGATGGCATCAAACATGTCCTGACTCCCAGCCATGGCGACAGCCCGGCCCGCTCCTGCCCCTCTGCCCACGCTGCACCGTAAGCAGCCCGCGAGGATGAGCCACAAACGCCCCTTTTCCGAGGAGGCGCATCCACTTCCGGGAGCCGCCGTGCGGGGCAGGCTGGGTAAGGACCGCGCGCGAAGAGGGTCCAAAAGGGAGTCGGGGCGCATGCGCAGTTCGCGGCGGTGGGCGGGGCTGAGTTCAAGCAAAGCCCTGCCCGCCTGCGCCTCCACGCGGGGAGGTGGTGGAGCCGCTAGGCTGCTGGGGCGGGCTATGGCGACTCCCGGCTTTATCTTATAAAAGGCCAAGCAGATGGGACCGAGTAACCAAACGTGGTTCGGAAAGAAATTAGGAAAGTTATGAAAGAACCGGCCCTGGGCCGGGGTCTTCCCCGGGGAAGTCGAGGCAGGGTGTGGACCCCGAGCGGGGACCCCGGGGACCCCCGCATGGTGGCGTGGGGCTCCAGGTCCAGCATCCAGGGTTGTCACGCGGCTGTCACCGCAACCACAGCGGCCGGAGCCCAGCGACTGCGGGGCTGTGACGAGCAAAAAAAAAAAAAAAAAAAAAAGAAAAAGGACAGATGATAAGCATTGTGGTTCTGCAGAGTTCTTTCAAAATGAAGAAAATTTAAAAAGGTTGTGTGTGTGCAGTTGCCTTGTTTTTTTTTTGTCTTTTTTGTTTTGCTTTTTTTTTCTATTTTTTCCTTTTTTTTTTTTTTCGGTGCTGGGGACCGAACTCAGGGCCTTACACTTGCCAGGCAAGCGCTCTTCCACTGAGCTAAATCCCCAACCCCGAGCGCTGGGTCTGGCTGGCAGTATTTAAAGCAAAAAGCAAAGTTATTCATGCACAGTCAAGAATCAAATAGTACAGAAGGCTTTGCAAGGAGGAACAAGGGCCCTGCCCCGCAACTGCAATCCTTTTGCAGCTGAAGGCATCCACTCTTAAAAACACAAACAAAAAGGGTGATTTTAGTTCTCTTAGATGCCAATTTCACCAAAGGAGATTTTTGAAAAGCTAGTCCAAGCTGTCAGCAACAGTATATGAGATGCCAGAAGCATTCCCATTCAAATCAAGAGTGCAGGAAAGCCTTCATCATGCACACACATGTCAAAAGGACTTTGTTTCCTACTGATCTAGACGATGTAATGAGGCAGAAAACAGAACCAAGAGATGAAGTCTTCAAAAGAAGGCAGAAGGATCCTTACAAAACCCTCAAGCCCCAAGCAGTAGTAGAGAACAGTCTCAGAATTCCTAGTAGGTTCCCTGATGCCTAGCAAGACAGACAGATCACCTGCTTTCCACCCCTCCAACAGTTAGCCTGGAACAAGGGTGGTGACAGGAGCATTGATTTTCGGCCACCAGGATAAACTTCTTAGACAGTTTAACAGGTTCATGTGAAGGAGCTAGAGAAAGCCATCATTCTGTATGGGACAATTGAGCAGGCTGACTCCAAGAACAACTCAAGACATCTCACAGCGTTCATCAAAATAATTCCAGATGAATTAAAGTGTTAACTATATAAAAAAAAAATAAAAAGACCTTGAAAAATCTAGGTTGCCATTCTTCTGTGTAGGAGATTCACTGTGAACACATGGAAGCCAGGGCAATGCCACAGGGGGAATGAATCTATTTTGACATGACAGTACAACTTCCACACGTCCAAAGTAGGGAACCAAAATCAAAAACCAAAGAGCAAGATAGGGATGTACTTGGGAGAAATATAAAAAGGAATAATATTTCTGCTTTATATAAAGAGCTCAGTGAAAATAGGTAAGAAATAAATGCACCCTAACGAGAAAAGAAAAAGAATGGACCACGGACTCACACTCCCATAATTCACAGAAAAGAGCAACAGGTGTCTAGCAGAGGAAGCTACACTTTGTGATGGTTTGAGATACCCAAGTCACAGTAATCAGAGGAATGGGAAGAGAGAACAAGCAGGTGCAGCTTTTTATCCTTTAAAATATTTTTTTTCTTCCTTTTTAGAATTAAAAGATACTTTCACTGCCCACCGGTGCATAAAGTTAAGCTATCTTTTGGTCAGGTGATTTAACAAAAAATAGGAAAGACATTTAAAATATTTTGTGCCCTCTGAGCTGGCCATTTCATTACCAGGAGTTCATCTCAAGGAGACAGAGTAGAAATTTGATGTGTGTGGTGGACCATGCAATATGATCTATAAACTCAAGACAACAAAAGCAGTTTAGAGCGACAAAATAGTAAAATAAGGACGTGTGCTGGCACCGAAGACTGGAGGGAGCAAAATTAACCCCTCAAAAATGCCCGCCAGGTTTAAGGAAAAAGAAAAACCTACCTGCACTCAAATTCCAGCTACATCAAACGAGTCGTTTAAAAGAGTGAAGGTGAGAACCCCAAATGTGAATCAGATCTTGGAATTATAACAAGGGTTTTTTTGTTGTTTTTTTAACATCGCGTGGTTACACAACGAATGAACATAAGTTACTTTCATAAACATAAAAAAACCAGGAGTTGAAATTAAATAGGCTTCATATTATTTTTTTCTGTTCTCTTTTCATAAGCAAATGAAATCACGGAACAGTGGGAATGTGGAAAAAAGGGAAAAACAAATAATCAGAAAAAAGATCCACTCTCTTGCTGCATTTGTTCCCTTTGAATTTTCATGGAATCTTAGTATATGTACAATTTATTTGCTCCTCCACCCTACTTAATATTATATATGAAACATTTCTCAAGTGAAGGGCTTGTTCTCTAATAATATGTTTAGCATGTATTTTGAGGATGAACTTTATCAGCTGAAATATAACCTTTGATAAGGGGAAAAACTAAGCTTACGGACACAAACCTGGAATCGCCAAACTTTTCAGATTCTGCGCCGCATGGGCAGATCACGAATGCTACAAAAATGAGACTATTAAGTCACACTCTTGATTTGCAATGCAGCCTTGCAGAGACCCCCAACCCTCTTGGTTTTGTTCCAAATACAGTTTTTGGATACAGACTGTTTCAACATTAAAGAGAAAGAGATGGTTTGTGTTATCTCAGATTTTCAACAGTACATTTACAAATTACTTTGTTTTCAAATAAGATCCAGACTTTAAAAATGGTGCCTTAAAGGGAGAAGGGGGGGCTGGGGGTGTGGCTCAGTGGTATGGTGCTCACCTAGCATACACAAGGTCCTGGGTTCAATCCCCAGCACTGGCAAGAAAACACAAAAATATAAAAAGGTAGACACCACAGAGTAAATATTTCTTTCAAAATCCTTCAATAAATTTCAATTTGATATTTGTTTTAGCAAATGGGCACATTAAAAGTAGGTACGTCATCTTTAAGTAGGTATGTTATCTTTTGAGCAAATACTTGTGATGTGACCTTGTGTATGTCTTACAAGCTGCACTCAAAAGCTAAATGTGCATTGGTCCAATGAAAATGACCTGAGAGGGTCTTGGCTGCAGGCCTCTATGTGTCAGTTTTTAGTTTAGCTGCAGGTCGATTTGATTGTGTCAATTCTAGTGGTTTCAAAGCAGTGCCACATAACTAGGGCTATGTGTGGTTCAGTGGTACATCTTTTGCCTATCACACACAAGGCTCTAGGTTCGATCCCCAGCACTGCAGGAAAAATTATTATGAAGGATTTAATTTTTTTAACAAAAGGTATGAAGGGGATGATACAATCAACTCCTGGAAACCCACCACACTAAGATAAAACACATTTTTTTAAGAAAAGGAAAACTTTCACATATTCTTGTTCAACTTCAAAGAAAAGCCAGTACCATGTAGCTAAAGTGAAAAACAAATTCATCAAAGTTTAATATTGAAAAGCATTCACTAATAGTAATTGATGTTTTTTAAAATTTGTATCTGGGAGTCTCTACTTCCATTTCTTACATGGGGGGCAGGAAATGGCTTTCCCCCTTCTCCCCATTTTATCCTGTTATACTAAATTCCTTTCCTAATAAACTTTACTATTACTTTTACTACAAAATGAATTTATATTTGCAAGCAAAACACTGAACAAATGCAAATGCCAAACCAAAGTGAACATGGAACTGTGTAGTTGTCAACCTAGAAAGAAGATGTCCCATTCTATTAGGACAAAGCAAAGCTAAAACAAAAATGTGTCATTTGCTTTCATTTGAGGTCAAGAAAAGACCCTCAGACATGTACAAATAATTTTCTTCCAGGTGCATCAAAGCCACCAGCGAGGACAGGACCCCTAAGGTCACTCTGGTCAGACTTGGGTGAAGGGACTGTTTTCCTTTATATTTCCTCTGTCTTGTGATTTATTTGTTTGTGTGTTTGTTGCTTTTTGCATGAAGCACACCTTTCATAATGGAGGGGACTTGAAGTCCAAGTTTAACTCGTGTGTGTGCCACTGACGAATGGATTAAGAAAATGTGGTATCTATACACAATGGAATTTTATGCAGCCATGAAGAAGAACGAAATGTTAGCATTCGCTGGTAAATGGATGGAATTGGAGAACATCATTCTGAGTGAGGTTAGCCTGGCTCAAAAAACCAAAATCGTATGTTCTCCCTCGTATGTGGACATTAGATCAAGGGCAAACACAACAAGGGGATTGGACTTTGAGCACATGATAAAAGCAAGAGCACACAAGGAAGGGGTGAGGATAGGTAAGACACCTAAAAAATTAGCTAGCATTTGTTGCCCTTAACGCAGAGAAACTAAAGCAGATACCTTAAAAGCAACTGAGGCCAATAGGAAAAGGGGACCAGGAACTAGAGAAAAGGTGAGATCAAAAAGAATTAACCTAGAAGGTAACACCCACGCACAGGAAATCAATGTGAGTCAACTCCCTGTATAGCTATCCTTATCTCAACCAGCAAAACCCCTTGTTCCTTCCTATTATTGCTTATACTCTCTCTACAACAAAATTAGAGATAAGGGCCAAATAGTTTCTGCCAGGTATTGAGGGGGTGGAGGAGAGGGAGGGGGCGGAGTGGGTGGTAAGGGAGGGGGTGGGGGCAGGGGGGAGAAATGACCCAAGCCTTGTATGCACATATGAATAATAAAAGAAAAAAAACAAAAACATAACTCGTGTGTGGGGGAATCC